TGTGGCCTCCCTTGTGGCATACATAGCAAACAACGATTTGTCCTTCATCAAGCTTCTTCACTCCCTTGACGGTGTTATCTTGATGAAGTTGGGCTTGCTCTGTTTTGCCTTTTACTTGAGTCAAGTCCTTGATGAGGCGAGCCACTTCTTGCTTGAGTTGCTCATTCTCTATTGTGACCTCTTGTGTGCATGTTTCTACAACAACTTTCTCAACACAAACTTGGTTGCACAAGGGTGAGTCTAAACATAAATCATTACAAGAAGTAGAGACATCCTGTTTAGGCATGTCAAAAATTGAACCTTTCTTTTTAGGTGCCTCTGTGGGGGTTGTACCGACAGTTTCAAGATTTGCAACTTTATTAGTTAGCTCATCATAATGTTTGCACATGGTTTCCATTTTAGCAAGCAAACTTTTATAAGCATCTTGTGAGCTAGCTAACTTTTCTTTTAATTTTTCCTTTTTCTTTACAAGTTGCTCATTATTGATTGTGCATGCATTTATTGTTGCACTAGCCTCAAGTTGCTCAATTTTAGTAGATAGTTTAATATTGAGATTAGCAAATGTATCATATTGTTTAAGCAAGGTTTTATATGCTTCTTGTGAACTATCTAGCTTTTCTTGCAATATTTTTAGCTTCTTTTGTTGGCTAGTGCAAGCCTTAGCATATTTAAGATTTTCTTACACAAGTTCATTAAGAGAAGGCATTTCATCATCACTATCACTCTCATTAGAGGGTGAGCTTTCGTTATCTCGTGCCATAAGGCACATACGAGAAGAGCTTGATGATGAGTGCTTGTGGCCTCACCTCTTGTGATGGTCTTCTTCTTCACTTGAAGAATCATCCCATGACCTTATTGATGTGAGGGTTTTGTTCTTGTATGCCTTCTTTTTTGTCTTGGGTGTGGGCTTGTTTGGACAAACTTCCACAAAGTGTCCCAACTCACTATATCCATAGCATCCTTTCTTTCTTTGCTCATTTCTTTGATTGGTGAAGATGAAATCTTGAATTTGGATGGGCACACCCTTGACATTGAGTTTTTGGTTCATCTTCTCCACCTTGTTGATAAGCTTGATAGATTCTTCATCAAGGTCGGAGGTGGAGGAGGAAGATTGATCATCATCACTTGATTCATCATCATCATCATCATCCTCATCTTCTTCTTTATCTTTACTTGAGGAGCTTAAGCTTGAGCTTGTCTCAACTTGCTTGCCCTTCATCTTCTCTTTCTCACAACATGTGAGAGCTTTGCCTTTGTTTGATGAAGAGGCTTCTTCTTGACCTATCTTGCGTGACATTTCAAATGCCACTATCTTACCAATGACTATGGCCGGGGTCATGATGCTCAAGTCCTCCATGTTGTGAATGATTGTGATGATGCTTACATATTTCTTTTGTGGTAGCATGGAGATGATCTTCCTCACAATGTCTGCATCATCTAGCTTTATTAATCCTATTGAATGGAGCTCATTAATAATTAGATTCAAACGAGAATATATATCACGAATAAGCTCAGCATCATTCATTTTAAAGAAATCATAATTTTGTTTAGCTAGACAATGTTTTTGCTCACGGACATTAGTTGTGCCGTCATGGAGCTCTTGGAGTTTTAACCAAATTTTATGTGCCGTATTTAAAGTGAACATTTGGTTAAACACATCCATGCTAAAGGATTCAAACAAGCAATTTTTAGCTCTAGCATTAAAATGAATTTCTTTTTCTTCACTCTTTGTGGGTTTATCGAGATTCTTAATGGGTTTTATCCCATCACGAGTGACTCTCCAAACACCCAAATCTATTGCCTCAAGGTGACAAGCCATTCTAACTTTATAGTAGGGGAAGTTAGTGCTGTCAAAGTGCGAAGGCCTAGAGGTATCCATCCCAACCACTCTAAATAGCGTCGGCTCAATGGCGGTAAAGCCAAAGGTCCAAATTGAGCCAACCTGCTCTGATACCAATTGTAGGTGACCGTGACGCCTAAGAGGAGGGTGAATTAGGCAACTTAAAACTCTAACTCTAAATTATGGCCTCTTTTTCTACCCTTAGCAAAACCTATGCAAAAGATAAACTGTCTAAATATGCAACTACGATTTTGCTAGTATGTTGCTATCTCTATCGCAAAATAAGTTATGCAACCTAGGTTCCAAACCTATCAACTAGCCTATCACTAAGCTAGAAAAGTAAAGCACACACCAAGATTGCAATGCAAATACGGAAGCTAAAGAGTAAGTTAGAGATATGCAAACTCCCATCAACGACTCTGGTATTTTTACCGAGGTATCGAGAAGCGCGCAAGCTTCCCCCTAGTCCTCGTTGGAGCCCCTCGCAAGGAATTTCTCGCAAGGGCCAAGCTCTCGGTCGGGTAACTCCATGGATAATTTTGGGCCTTCCCCACGCGCAAGTGGGTCTCCGACGTGCCTTCCAGCAACCCTCTCCCAGATGCTCCCCGCCGTCTTCTCTATCAAGCTTCCGGTCGAAATGCCGCAGGCCTTGTTTCCTCCGGTACAAGGTGGCGGCCACACCACAAACGCGGTTGGTGTGATCTTGCAAGACTACTACCCCCTCCAATGTACAACAATGGTGCGCGCAAGCACTGAGTGATAAGAGGTGTGCAAACCTCACTATACACTAGGCCTAAACCTAGAGCAAGCGCATAAGCGGTGGTCTAATCAACCTAAGTACTTCGCAAAGCACCTACGCTAATCACCTAATGAATCACTAAGCACTATGCAAGTGGAGATTACTAAAATAGTGTATCAACACCCTTGGTATGTTTCCTCAGCTCTCCACCTCTCAAATGGCTGGTTGGGGGTCTATTTGTAAGCCCCATAGAGAAAGTAGCCGTTGGGGGTGAAACCTAACTTTCTGCTACTGACCAAACGCTGTTGTCGTCCTGACCGGATGTGTCCCGTCGTCCCGACCGTTAGAGCGCCCGCGTTGATCGAACTCTGGGCTGAGTCCGGTCTCACTCGATCGGATGCGTCCGGACGCGCTGGCGTCGCTCTAGAACCTCTCTGTACTCGATCGGACGCTGTACTTTGTGCGTCCGATCGTCCAGTGCAGTTGCGTTCGGTCACACTAAAAACATTGCCGTAACAAAGAACAATGTCATCGGTGCGTCCGGTCACCGCTTCGCTCAGCGTCCGGTCACAGCTGCTGACGCCTGCTGTTACCGAGCAACTGATCGGACGCGTCCGGTCACCTCTGCCGAGCTCGTTTCTTTGCGATCTTGCGCCTGGCTTGGTTGTCATCTTCGTGCTTAGACTATGCTTGATATCTTGATCTTCTCTTGTGCTTCTAGGGTCTTGCTTATGGTGTTGATCGTGGGATCATCATGTCGTCTTCGTCCAAGTCACGTCTTGCACCCTATTGAACTACAAAACAATTACTTGCAAATTCATTAGTCCAATTTAGTTGTGTTGGTCATCAAACACCAAAATCCAAAGTAAATTGGCCTAGGGTCCATTTTTCTTACAATAATACTACCACATTCGTTTTCCTATGGGATAAGACAACCCCTACCCCTGATAAAATAAGGAGTACATGGCCGATTGAGTTTCCATCTATCTAATCGTCATACAAATCAATCTACTACCTCTACTCTAACCCTTTTACCCTCTTCTCCAACCCCCCATGCTGTTCATCCCTTGATCCGACGACCAAGGATGGCGCCTAGGCTTGTCGGCCGACCTAGGGCAACCCGGCGACGTCCTTGCTCTGACAGGGTCCCTCCTGGGCGAGAGCTTCGGCGGTTTCTTTGCTAGTTTGCCTGAAAACTAGTCAATTCTTCGTCACGTAAGCACGTTGGTTATCCTTTGGTGGTTTGCTTGTAAACCTCTCCATTCTTCACCGCGTAAGCGTGATATCCTCGCTGCGTTATTCGGTCCGTGGTGGCCCGGGCGTCTAAGGCCCTACTGGTGTGTGATTCGGATTACTTCCGACGTCAACACTCTCATTACAAAGCATATAAATATTTACTTGTAAATACATTATAACATACTATCCATGTGTTGACATAGTTAAATATCGAGTTCCCTGATTTCCTTTATGGACCCATAGAAAATTGTAATTCTAATATCTCATTAAAGCCGGCAAGTAGTTAGATCCAATGTGTCAAGAACCGGTCTATCCATTAACCATTATAGTGAAAGATATCTCTCGATTTTTCACATATAGTCTACATCGGGATTGCATGGTACATCTATACCGAGACATTTATTAAAATTGAACTGGACAACAAAATAAGTGAGAAATTATAGCTCTTCAATGTTAAGTATAGAAGAAGAAACCAATCTGAGTTTAGTTGAGCTGGTTGGATTCTTTGTGGTGGATTGGAACCTTTCTAACTAGATTTAAGTCACGATTTGATACAGGTACTCATTTTTCTGAATTTATTTAAGCTTTTATAACGACGTGTTGCTCTATAATAACTGTCCGCGCATAGAGGAAGGAAGGAGAAAGCGTCTTACCAAAATGACCGGGACAAAAAGGATACACAGAATGAAGAGATATAAGAGGAAAAAAGAGGAAAAAATAACAGAACGTGCGACTTCAGTCGGTACTCGATAGGTAGATGGGTCTCAATAAGACGACACCCTCCAACAAGTATATATGACTCATCGAGCAAGCACCTCTAGACCATAGTCAATTACACACACTATATAGCTGGCTGGCAAAGACAGAAATGTCACGATCGAAATTTAAGTGAGCCAGTGACATTTACCTGACTCTGTATGACGTGTACTAAATCAGGGGGTTTGCTTGACTGCGTCCTGCGTGTGGACCTATTTTTCCTCTTCCGCAGCGTGTTTGGTTTCCTCTCGCTCTCTCTTGATCTAATGGGATAAAATTTCCCCGTTGTTCATTAGTGCACGTATGGTCTAATTTCTTGCTATTTCAGCTACTGTGACTATTTGGTACAATGGACTATACACACACACTAACAAATAAAAATATTGCATGGGATTCAAATTGCAGACGGGGGTTGACAACGCGGCCGCCATGCACATCAGCGCCGACCTCGCCCGCCTCCGCGAGCGCTACTCCCGCCTGGCCGAGTACCAGTCCACCTACGCCATGAAGCTGGCGTGCGAGAAGACCAAGGACCGCGTCGCCGAGACCGCCGCCGAGGAGATGTGCAAGATGGCGCGCCGTGGAGGCCGCCGCCAGGGAGGAGGTGCTCGTGCCGGCGAAGGCAAAGGAGTTCCTCAAGGCCGTCGAGGACGTGTCGGGCAAGCTGGCGCGGCATGGCACCCGGTGGCACGCGCGCGCCGGGAAGCTCACGGTGCCCGTCGAGGCGTTCGAGCGAGTGCGCACCAACGCCAGAACGGCTGCGGACGATGCCTGGTGAGGTGAGCTCTCTTCTGACGATGGCAGATTGAGCCATCTTCTTCTGCAGAATTCACCCTGTTCTGGTCGTGGGCACGTCTGCGGGCTTTTGCGGGATTTTTCATCAAGGCTGCCAAGTCCACGAAGTATATGACAGCAACGAATGTGGGCTAGTGGCCAGCCGCAAACCCGCTTAATCAGTTTTGCGGCGAGCTTTCTGGGTTGGCGGCTGTCCACAACCCGCCCCGCTTGCAAGCTTAGCCATCAGCTTGGAGAAGGGCATCGAGGAACCAGACGGCCAACAGGCGGCGAGCTCACGCTCGAGGTGAGCATTTGCTCGAGGCTAGCTTAGGCTAGATTGCTACCCTTTACCCTTATCCATCTTCCATGTACTGGTTCTCTGTACCTAGACTCTTCTAGAACCTTCTGAAACCTCCATATTGTACTGTGATTTTGAGTTGTGAGATCTACTCGAGTTGAGGTTCGTGATACACCAATTTTTTGAGGATATTGGATGGTTGTCTTCAAATTTATTTCGAACTGTGTGTTAGTTACTTCAGTTCCTCCACTAGCAAGGTTTTCTGGTCCTTGCACTTCCTTGCTGCCACGAGCTAGCCATCAAATTAGCTCGCCTGAGCTGGCAAGTTTTTACTTGCTCATTTACATGCGAGGTTATTAACTTACTGGAGAACCAAGCAGATCCTTAACCGGCGGCCCCTCTTCACCTCCTGTACGTCAGTGCTCGGTACAGTGCAATATAATGCTGTAAATTGAATAAGCGAGAAGAAGGCATATACTTGTATTCTTCTATTGATGAATCTCTTCCATTTCATCCTTAACTTGATTTCCAAAGCAGCAGCAGTTACCAGATCCGGGAAGAGCAAACCAAACTAGATCCATGAGAAGGTAGATGTAGCTAAAACAAAACGTATGGGTCGTTTCTCTAGAGGAAAACTTGCATGCATGTACCTATAACAAACGCTAGAATGCCGATATGGTTGAAGTAGCAAATAGACAATGTGATCAATTAGTCAATGTTGCACCATAATAAGTAGAAATAGTCCATGTACGCCCATTAAATAAAGGATCCAGTGGAGATTACAGGGAGCACACGTGTCACGTGTGTGCTAGCTAGCAAGACAGAAACATCACGATCGCGAAATCAAGAGAACCATACTGACATTTCTGTCTTGTTCGTATGAATTCACGCTTGGAATTGCTGGTAGGTACTTAACCTGAACTAGGACCAGCAATTATTTGAAAATTTTCTTTTCCAAAAAAAGGTTATCGTCAGTTCGTCACTGTTCAAAAACGGAAACATTTGTTGTACGTCACGGCCCCGCGCTGAGATTTTGTGTATAAGTGAGGGAGAGGGACCAATGAGGTCACAGTCCAAAAGATTTTGTACAGACGTTGGGAGGGGACTAAACCAAACAAGGTGTTCATCGGTGTCCGTTTAATTAATTTGCAGACCAAAGCGAGCTATGTAGTTCATGGTAAGCCATATTATAAGGCGGATTTTTTTTTCTCGAATACGCAAAAAATTTACGCATCATTGTAATTAAGGTAGAAGAATTTAACCATACAGACGACGCGTTTCTATCGAGCGTCCTAGGAGGTCAGCCGAAGGTTGGACCGTCCTAGCACACAAAGAGACTTAAGTTTCGGTATTATATAAAAGATAGACAGACGAGGAATATTTAATTTCATCCAGTGGCTAGCTCTCTAATTTCTCGAAATTAAAGATGACTTCCTGAACTTGAAACGATTTCATGGCCATTATGAACAATGACTCCCTGAACTTGAAACGATTTCATGGCCATTATGAACACCCCTGATCACAAAAACACCAACAAGCTTCCAAAAGTTCCTCATGCTAGGAGGCGGCACTATGCACTTTGGCTTGTTCTTCAATTCTGCAAGGGGTACGGTGTTGCTTGGTCTTTGAACGAAGCTGAATGTCCATATCATTGACACTTTTGGCATGATGCAAGATTATTTCTCCAACTGGTCCTCCGTCCATGCATTGTTCACCAGCATTTACTTAGTTTGTTTCTTTCATTCATCCTACCGTACCACGCCCAAGGAAGCCGTTGTCAAGATGTGATGTATTACTACGAGAGTATTCAAGTTCAAGCAGTTGTGTTGGGACGTCTTCCAAATTCATCGATCAGCTGCCAAACAACATCTGTTGACAAATTTACACTTTGTCAACAAGCTAAGCATTGCGCCCCCCCCAAAAAAAAAATCCTCATGTAGCCGCCAACACACCACACGTGGTATCTAATGCCCATCCCTAGCAGAGCAGGACGTTTTCCTGTCTTGCATGCATGACGTATACGTAAAATCGTAATAAGTTAAGGGCGGCTGCTTCCTCCGATCCGATACTTTAATTTTTTGTGGACCAGCAATGCAAGTTTCCTCTTCGATCGATCTTTAGGGCGGCGTGTTACTGTTACAAAACAAACATTTCACAGTGAGGGCGTAGATTCCTATGATGATGGAGCAGTGATGAACAACATTTCAAAGGAACTAATGACCGGGTGTTGATTCCTAGAACATTCGACTTAGCGCCCGTTTGGATTCTTGGAATTGAATTCACTCTAATAATTATAATTTAGGTATAGATTAATTAAGCTAATACGGTTGTATATGAAATATATTTGTATATTATTGTTAACCATATAATGGAGATACTTATATGATGTGTTTTTATGATGTAGGGAAGCGAGTTAAAGAGCGTGCTATAAGTTAGAGAGTAGAAATATAGCATAGTGATCTATATAATTATTCTCTATCTCTCGTCCTATGAATTTGAGATAGGCTTATATGTGAACTTGGGAAAGTCGTGGAATATCAAATTTCAAACCAAATATCATTACGTAGATTCCAATTCCTCCAAAATAAAAGGATCCAAACAACCTTAATTCAATTTATCCCCTCTGATGTAGCGCCATATCAGCGAAACCACCGTCAAAACCGATCACAGTGCAAAAATGAACGTTTTCTAAAAGTTAGGGGACATTAAACAATTAATTTTATGAATTAGAAAGGAAAATCTTTTTTTTCCTCAGCTTTTTGCGCGGTGCACTGTGGTGGACCTATAGAAGTATAGAACATTCAACAGTGCTACGGGGATGGCAGCGACTGCACCTGCTCCTCCTCCCGTGGCCCGTGGGCCACTCGGTTTGGGCTGCCTCGCGGAAGAATGGACGTGGGGCCGGGCCACGTTTGGGCTGTCAAGGTCTTCGTGTCCCATTTTTGTGCTTGGGCGAATGGGCGATATAGGAACCGGGGACGGGAATTATCAACCAACTACCCCGTCCGTTTTCATCCTACTACTAGACATTAGCATTCGTCTACCAACAACCAGTGTCCAACGTCCTCTCCTACCCTCCCCGTAATCTCTCCCCAGCTACCCCGATCCCGGTCCCAAACCCTCCGTCGACGCCTCCTCCTCTCTCCACACCGGCGATCGGCGGCGAGCGATGGGGTGGGCGACGCGGTTCGTGGCGGCGGTGTGCTTCTTTGCCGCGGGCGTCCTCTTCGTCCCCGAGGCGCTCCTCGGCTCCCCCTCCGGCGCAGGCGCCGTCACCGCCGCCAAGCTGGCCCACGTCCTCTCCTTCGCCACCTCCTGGGGCGCCGCCCTCTGGGCCACCTTCATCGGCGGCATCATCATGTTCAAGTAAGCAAGCTCCCGGCTCTAAAAATCCCATCATTCTCCTCCCTCCTCTTTAATTTCCCCCAATCTAATCTAAGAACCGAAAATCCCGAGGAGGGGAAAATCTGATCCCAAAAACTCCATCGATTCAATGAGCAGCTGAAGCGGTGCTTTGTTCTGTGCTGATGTTGAATCTTGTTCGTAGGAACTTGCCGAGGCACATGTTCGGCAACTTACAGAGCAAGATGTTCCCGGCCTACTTCACGCTTATCTCCGCCTGCGCAGCCATCTCCGTCGCCGCCTTCGCGTACCTCCACCCGTGGAAGACGGCGTCCACCGTGGAGCGCTACCAGCTTGGATTCCTCCTCTCGGCGCTCGGCTGCAATCTCTCCAACCTGCTAGTCTTCACCCCCATGACCATCGAGGTGAGCGGAATTCCTCTTCTTACGCTTTGGTCTCTTTCCATTGAGGAACGAATTTTATGAGAACCTAGGATTTGTCATGGCAGTTGTGGATTCATGGTTTGTAGACTTGGTATGACCATAGAAGTGTGGATCGGTTAGTAAATGCTCATCACTAATTATTAGATGCAATTGTATGAAATCGAGTAATGCTTTAGAGATAAAAACTGATTAGTGCTGTGCTATAACTGTCAGGTGAATGCAATAACTTGTAGTTAATTTAACTAATAACGATGCTTTTTAGTTTGTTGCATCTAGTTTTATGTTGATTGATTTCGTGTTCCCTAATACTAGCAGCCAAGTCATGGAATATCATGCTGTTGGCTGATTTTGTGATGTTCTATTGGAAAGCTAATTTTGGATATACTTGGTTCGAACAGGGCAGCATTTATGTTATTGCTTTTACTTGTGTGTAACCTCTTCAACAAAATAGGACAAGCAGTAGAAAGCTATTTTTTTCACTCAAATGACAAATATACCTTGTGAAATCATTTGATGTTATTATCTGCAGCTTAAAACATATACCTTCAACATAAATATGCCTTGTATAATATGGTTGCTATTGCTATGATTCACAATTGTTTACGAAAATGGTTTCTCGAGCGTTGTGGTTGAATAGCTTTCGTCATTAAAAGCCAAGGGTATTTCAATCCAGATATCCTTTATAATATTCTGGTGAAAAATACCATTACAATTATTCCTCTAATCAATAAATATACTTCATAATTGATACTACAGTCCAAGTTAAGTGTTAAATGACAGAGGTTGGCATCACATTATCACAATGTCTCACACTACACAGTGAGTGAATGTTATTAATTTGGTAGAAGATAGCTTGCCAGAAATAGAACAAATGCTACAAGAATTCAGAATTTGTGATGACTATGATATGATTGCAGGAATGTATACGTGTTTCTAAATAAGTCACTGATTACTCCTTATCTTAACTTGTAGGAAATTGAGTAATGCTTTATCTGGCGTGCAATTTATTAGAGAATAGAATAACAGTCACTGTTTCATCATTGACAGTTGAATGCAAAATCTGTATGTAGTCAGTGGACTAAATAGGTTGGTTTAGTTTAACTGCTTATGTAAAATTGATAGCTTTCGTATAAGTTCATAGTAGTGACCTAGTTGCTGGAAGGTGATAAATCAGGCCATAGGGTTCTTTTTGTTTCTGGGCTTGAGTCTTAAAAGGCGTTTCATGCTAATCTACTCTAAAGCTGAGATTGCCCGTCTTGGTTTGGTTTGCGCCCATACTTATTGCTCAACCCTCAGTGAGCAAATCTGCTATCAATTTATTGTTTTTGTTTTGTTTGTGTAGCTTCTAAAAAAACTGGAGTTACAGAGTAAGACACCGTAGCGCCAATATATCAAAAAAATTATATACTTTGGTCGAAACTCTGTAATACTGCAATGAAAAAACTATTATTTTTTTTCTTGAACATCTTGCTATTCGAACTAGAATTGAAGGTAAGCTTTAGATGATAGATTGACACTACGGTGTCTTACTCGACCCAGTGTGAATGCTAGTTGATATAGGATAATGCTATTGGATCAAATTTTATGTTATTTTATGGATCTTGCAAGTGATTGTGATGTTCTGTGAACCCAGTGTAGCCCGTGTACAGTTTGGCAAGCATAGGGTGCCTTCTACCAGGCTAAATTCCTTTTATTACATTTCTGTGAACAATCAATATCTGGTGGCCAAACATGTTCATGTTTCTTTCATCATGGTAATATATGTCTTTAAGGGGTAAGTTTTACCCAAATATTCTTTATATCTGCGGAAAGGCTTCCCCAAAAATTCAGCACATAATCCAGATGTTGCTGGCAATGGCCAGTCCAACATTTTGTACTATGAGATCATGCAACAGTTAGCTTTAATTTTTCCCAATGCAATATTTGTATACAATATGACAATTGCACAACACTTATGTTTTATTTTGTACTATCAACCAAAGTTCAAATTGAAAGTCAGAAACTAATTTGAGACTAACTAGAACATGCCCTCTTATCCTACATGTTCTTTCATGTAATTTCACTTGACATGGTTAACCACTGCTTGCAGATGATGAAGAAGAGGCACAAGATTGAGCGGGACCTGAGCATCATGAGGGAAGTCGGATGGTCAAAGAATCAGCAGGTGGCTAAATCCAACCCCACCCTTGCTGCGATGAACAAGAAGTTTGGGATGATCCACGGGCTGTCATCACTAGCCAACATCATGTCGTTTGGCAGCTTGGCCATGCACTCCTGGTACCTGGCCAGCAAGCTAGAGCTGTGAAGGGGAGCCAAGACGACACCTTTCTCCGCCTTGTAGTGAATCTTATCGCGATGGTGGTATTGGTGCACGTCATGTTATGAGATCTCTAGACTAAACTGTACAATTGCGCTATTGGCTTCAAAGGAGAATGAATTGTAGTTAAAAAATTTTAAAAAAACTTTGTAGTTAATAAAGAAATCCTATGTGTTGCATGCTGCTCTCAAACCAGTTATTCAAAATCAGAATAATTAAGCCACGGTGGTGGTATCCGTTGATCTTTCTTACGTGGATGAGCAAGATTTGTCAGCAAGTGTAATGTCCTCTTTGGAACAAAGATTTACAGAACACAAAAATAGGAAAAATGTAAGGATACCTTTAACAATAGAGTCAACTTGCTAGCTTATATGATTTTTTTTAGAAAAAGTTGAAAATAGAATAACCACATGTAGTATAGAAAAATATGTGAGCATATATATACACATGAATCTTAGAAAAATAAGTGAGCTTAGCTCTTCACGAAGAGCTAGCTTATCATTCTCTATCTTTTATTGAATAAAACATTCTATGACCAAACTCTTAAGACACTATTGGAGTTGCTCTAAGAATGAAATACTCTACAACTTTAAATCCTACTAGAAAACACAGGGCGCGGCATTGCCGCGCCAGTCTTTGAGCAGTCCGGTGTTGATTAAATCAGAGAGAGAAAAAATGATACTCTTTCTTCTCATTTATATAGAGAACCTAGATGGAGTAGAACCGAGATCCATATATAAGCAAAGTCATAGCAGAAAAAAAAAACATAGGAGATTAGGAGCAAGAACTGTGAGGCTCGAAACTAAGCAAATATACTCTCCATCTATCATGTCTTCTTTCATCCGTGGTTTACCTAAACTTTAAATAAGGACCGTAGATAATTGTTGAGCATCACTTGGAGCATGCAAAATATATATCAGTTCAGGTAGCGCGGACCAATTGGACAGCTCAAGAGCACGGATCAATTGGACAGCTGAAAAAAAAGGGTGCACATCATTAGAAAATAATCCAAGATGTGAGCCGCGACTACAACTGGTTGAAAAGGCATAAAATTGTTATCCATGAAACTAAAACATGTGCTGAATTATTTGGCAAAAGGCATTCAAACTATTACCCATGAAATATATACTAAATTATTACTGAGGTGGTAGATATATAGAAATATCACTAAAATAATAGCATATCTATTCATTTATTAAATACTTCATATGGCTAGAAACCTTGTTTTTAAACTTACAATAAAGTTACAAAACTAATACAATGAGAGTGGCAGGAAAGCTCAGCACTAAGCTATGTCATCTTAAATGTCCCTATAGTAGTGCAACAGGTTCACCTGCGGTTGAGTGTATGAGCGTAGGCTTCCTCTTCCTATGTTTTAGGCAGCCATTAAGTGTGGATGACCCAGAAAATCAAGGCATGATTTGTGGAGAAACGCAGTTCGAGCTGAGAAGAATCGTTTAAGCATTTAAGGAATGATGAGTCTCTTAAGATTCCAATCACAGTAAGGAAACTTTGTTCAAATTCTTCCTCAAACAAAATAACATTCTAATGATGCCTACACAGGTAAGTAGCTTGTCCCACATATGCACTGATCAATGATGTACACAGCATGGATCATGTATGTAAAAGCAACCAGTCTAAGAAATTTCATCAGAGAGAATAATTTACCATATAGTGCTTGTAGGATGAAATACAGGGAAAATGAGTTTGCATTAGACTTTATTCACCTATATGAACAGCTGAAACCTAATAGTAAATAGGTACCCCAAAGATGAAGGCATATGAAATTATGATATCAAAGTTGTCAAAGGTAGATGAAGACAGCGTCCAAAGGTAACACCATCAATGGCACCACAGATAGTATAAGAATAAATATAGATGAGATCGGACAAAGTGGATATGCAAGCATCCTAAGTAAATTCGATGGCAACTACATAAGGTGTTCCAAACACAATAAGAGCAGAATCCTCGATGTTGAAATGCAGATATAAGAACTCATCATCGCTAATGAGAACACATGTTGCATTTGCAGGGCATTTATCAAAATAAATCTTGGAACACAATATTTAGTAACTTATTCAACACTAAAAGTAAATGCAGTAATCTGTAGCAACAAATCCAGATTAAGTGCAAGTAATTTGTAGTGTAAATAATTTCTCTATGACAAAGAATTCCAATAATTTGAGAATAAAATAATTTTAATGCAAGTCCAGAGATAAAAGGAAGTTAGTGCACGAAATGGAATTATCTCACCTTGAATCAATAGCATGCTGCAGTCCCCCAGATTAAGAGCACCTGCAAGAAGGGCGCGAGCTTCTCTCACTTGTGCAGCAACCGCTCCTCGTATTGAATTGATTATGCTGTTGTAATTCAATCGAATTCCATTGAACTAACACAGAGAATAAGAACATGGTTGAGATGATGGCCCAAGAACATCAAGAACAGGGGAATAGAATTACAAGATAGTTCCAAGAACTAAATCCTTCACTGGCTAGATGTGAGCAGCAGGACCACAGGGCAGCGCGAGGCCTTGGCTGACAGTAACTTTTATATTGACGTGGTGAGAGTGCTAGCCATCTCAGCGCAGAGTCGCAGTGGCGGCGACGACGTTTGTATAACAATAGAGATGGGATCCGTGAAGGAAAAAGGAGGAAAAAAAGAAAAAGATACCTTGTGCTCATTTTATCGAACACATTCACTGCAGCTTCATGGAGGCACCAATTGGATGTCCGATGGCAACGTCAAGCACATGGGAGCAAGAGGCATGGAGGTCAGAGATGCCCTTTGAGCCGGCACTTTTGATCTTCCCCATCGCCGCAGCGGGGATCCATGCGGATCGGTGCCGCGAGCGGCGAAGCGCCGGATGGAGATAGCATGGGTGCGGCGGCGACGGCGAAGCGACGCTTTCGGCGTGGCGTCGTGTAGGCTCAGACGCCGCCGTGGTCGAGGTCGAGCCACGCTGGGTGCCGTGCTAGGTCCAAAGACGCGAACCGTGGACGCCGGGCTTGCCCACCGGTCCGGCCAAGACCGAGAACGGCACGCCCACCTATGCCACTGGAATCTCATTGGCCCGCCGCCGACAACGGGGACGCCCGTTCGCAGCTCACCCACCAAGCTGCCGCCCGGCCATGGAAGGGCGAGGAGCCCGGCGCACCCGAGGTTGGCCTCTTCTCGGCCGGAGGGAGCCAGCCGATTCAACGGCCGAGGAAACGTGCCTATCGGATCGGACGGCCGAGAGATGATGAGGTGACGTGGCCCTATTAGAATCCTTTCTTTTGGAGGCAGGATTCCTATTAAGAGATAGGATCTCAAAACAAAGGAAAGTTTTAGGCAGAAGCAATGCAGAAAAAACATAGGAAACAAAACATAGGATATCTTTGAAAGAAATGTAAGGAAAACAAAATAATAAGGCTATAGTTCATGTTAAGTTTTCTCCAAGACTCCTTGGTTCGGTCTATAAGAATTTCAAAGAAGTTATTGAGAAGCATTTTTTTTTGTTTCAAAGAGATATATAGATAGAAATTTATTTATTTTGAAACAGAGGTAGTATTACTGGTAGACGTACAGACGTGTTACGTGACTGAGTGATAGTGTGGGAACTGGCAAGTAGCCAACGGGTGTTCACGGCTTCGCGCACACCGTACTCCAGAGCCCCGCCGAATGGTGTATCCCCGAACCCGAATCCCTAAATCACCGAACCCCGAATCCCCCTAATCACAAATCGCCGTCTCGGGCGTTTCCGCACCGCTCCTCTCCCACAGTCGTCCGGCCGACCCCGCGATGGCGTCGGCGCCACGCCGTAGCGCCAGAGCCCACCGTCCTCTCCCACAGCCGGCCGACGGCGCGATGGCATCGGCGTCGTCGCCACGGCGGTCCGCCAGAGCCCGCCGTCCTCCTTCACGTCTGGTCGACAGCGCGATGGCATCGACGTCGGCGCGACGCCGGACCGTCAGAGCCCGCCGTCCTCTCCCACAGGCGGCCGACCGCGCGACGGCGGTCCGCCATAGGCCCGGCAGCGCAGCCCGTCCTCCCGGACGAGATTTGGGAGGACATCTTCCTGCGCCTCGACGCCGCGGCCGACCTCGCCTGCGCCTGCGCCGCCTGCTCCTCCTTCCGCCGCATCGTCTCCGAGCCCCGGTTCCTCCGCCGCTTCCGGTCCCTCCGCCCCCCTGCAATCCTCGGGTACATCACTTCTAGCGGATACCGACGATTCTTCCCCGTCGGGCCGCCCCACCGCTCCGCCCCGGAAGCCCGCGCGCTCGGGCAAGCGGCCGACTTCACCTTCTCCTTCCTCCCCGACCCCTGCGCGTGGCGCTTTCGCCACGCCCGCGATGGCCGCGTCCTCCTCTCCCAGCACTTCTCCATCAAAATCGTATTCGAGGATTTCGTAGTCTGCGATCCCCTGCATCGCCGGTACGTCATGATTCCCCGCATACCCGACGACGTAATGGCGGCCTCCACCCCAGACGCGCGGCATGTGTTACCCCGTTCTGGCTCCAGCTGGCGAGAATGACGAGGAGGAATCGTTCAGAGTTATCTGCACTGTGGTTTTCAAAGGTCATGGCTTTCCTCTTCTCTTCGTGCACCCAGACGCTAGGAAAAATTGGTTCTATAGCACTGAAAGATTCATAGAATCATAAAATACCATTGAAATTTCTTGGCAACGTAAAATGACACTGAAAGTTCGAACGCTAACGGGATCAAACCGTCCGTTAGAAAATGTTCACAGAAAACGTACCGGATGGATACAGAAGCACATGAAATGACCGTTATACCCTTAGAGAGAGAACCTTATCTGGTTCACGAATCACGACTGCTTTCTCCTTGAGCGCGTCCGACTTCTCCAGGACCAGGCGCAGCCAGTCCATCTGATCTGCGCTGGTGCCACCGCCGGTCAGGCCCCACCGCTCGCCAGCCCCACGACTCCGCCCGCCCCCATCGCCGTCCGAGTCGTTGCCCCCGACACCGGCCGGGTCGTCACCCCCCAT